AAATGATCTAGTGCTTACATCAGTTGAAATGAATGAATAAATATTAGAAATTATTTAAAAATACTGTACACTTTAGTTTAAATGATCTAGTTCTTACATCAGTTGAAATGAATGAATAAATATTAGATATTATTTTAAAATATTGCAACGATGTCAACTTGCTCCGCTTTCTAAAAATATATTATTAAGTGGTAATGAAATTTAAGTTAATTTTAGTTTAATATGTTTTGTTTTAAACAATTTTTCCACTACCACCTATCGAAAATTTAAAATATTACATAAAATCCAACTGTTTAACTGATACCTCGTAGTGACTGTGTTATATTGTAAGCGTAACTTATTCTTCAATTTTGACTATTTAATTCGCTACCAATTTACTTAAACTTTTGCTGATATTGTACAATTTAGTTCAAATGCTACATTAGTTCAAGTGCTTACATTAATTCAAGTAGCATGTTAAAATATTCGGAGTGCAAAAGGTTAAGCAGGTATTTAAAAGGTTATACTCAGAAATTGTCATGGTCTCAAGCTCAATAAAAGCTTTATAAAATTAGACTAAAACTAGGTGGGATGACCATCGAGAAAAGATGGCCAGTTTAAATATCTCCAATATCTCTTAATATATCATAGCAGATACAGTTTCGATAACCGTATGAGATGAATTCAATGGATCCATGAAACATTTACAAACTTTGAAAACCTTTGACAAAAAAGTAGTAAGGTTTTTTCGAAAGCGATAAATTAAATCTGCGCATTAGATTTTGCTTATTAGCCAATACTTTCCATGATAAAATTCATTCCTTAAAACCAGAGATGCCAACTCCACAGTGCCGATAAATATCTGCATGCCGATAAATATCTTGGAAATACGAAATATATGCAAATATGAGTGATAAATATTATATTAGTATGAATAACAGAATTTTTTTTTAAATTATTAAACTGCCACATTTTAAAACAAAGTGAACAACATTGAAAAACATAAAATTAGTCTATAGATATAAATACTCTACCACTTTTCTACGAAGAGGATTTAATACATTTATAAAATTTAATGCATATTCGCGTACACAGTGGTCCCGAAGTCCTATTAAAAATAATATATTGGCATACCTGCCAACTTTTAATCCCTTCCATTATCATTTTTTCCCAGTGGTATTATAGTGGAATTTAAACTTCAATTTTAAGCAAACAAATACGTTGTATTTGAAAAAACTTAAGTTGACAACCATGATAGTAACGCATATTAATATATGTTCTTCATTTTTGTAAGAATAGTGGTGATCAAAATCATTTAAAAATTAAGTTTATAAAAGAAAAAAATAGTATATATTTACTACCACTTTAAATATGAAAATAAAATCTTCCGGCAGAGTTGGCAGGTATGTATTGGTAGGAGACGTAAGATATTTTTTGCTTAATTTCTTGATGGAACGATACATTTTTAACTACCATGGCATTTTAATAATTTATCTAATAATATTTAGTTCCAAAATAGAGAACGGTGTTAGTTTTAGAATAAAGTGAAACTAAAAGTTAAATCTTTTGTTATCGAAATTTTCGGTTTGTTAGTTTCAAATGAACTGGTTACTACTTTTTAATTTTCATAGAACGTTGCGGCTACTGCCTACGGTCAACAAGAATATCTTTGATCTGATAGTTTCGCAAAAAAATAATATATTTTTTTTACTGTGGATATTATGTGTTTCAGTAGACCATTTACCGTTATTGTGCTTTTCCCTCGGCAGTGTAATCTTTAACTGTTAAATGAGTAAAAATTCATAGAGTTTTATTAAACTGTTATTTACAGTATGCAGAGAGGTCAATTACTCCGGACACGACATTAGTTGTCAGCAATCAATGTATTCGTACCAAGAAATATAACAGTTACAAAATTTTATTTAAAAAATTATATTTATGTGTATTTATTAAGCAATTTTTATTGGTTGAAATTGTTAAAGAATAAAGGTATTAAGATAAAATTAAATGACAGAATTTTTTTTTATGTGTGGTAATATATTTAATGTATAATAATTTGTAGAAATTTTAATAATTATTTTACAACTTTTAATCTCCCGATTACCTTAAAAACAAAATATTTTTAGTGATAATTTTCGTAAATAGCAGTTCGTAAATTTTTCGAACGTTTAAGGAAAACTGTCAAATAATGAAAACGTTAACGAACATAAAAATACCTACCTAATTTAACAACTTAATCACTGCCACCCTTTTCATATTAGTTTTTATCAGATCCGTAATATGCAAAATAATAATCGGACGCTATATTTTGATTTTAATCTATGTGATAGTCTTGGATGTTGAAGGTATTCAAATACGTAGTAGGTGAAAATAAAATCTCTTGAATAAATATTTATAATATCAAACTTAGAAAATGTTTCTTACTAACGACGTGAACAAAGTTTCAAAAAGCAATAACAATATAAAAATTTTAGTTTTAGACAATTTTTTATTTGTTTTTAATTTTACATTCCCAATATTTTTTTCTAGTTGCTTATTTTTTGGAATTATTGATTAAAAATTTAAATGGATGATTCTGAATGAGTTTTTAAAGAGAAAATCATTAAAAAGCTTAAAAAGAGCATTAGGTCCAATGTAACTTTTTGTAAATACTTTGATACTACGTTTCATTCTTTTTGGCATTACACAAGATGCCCTTTTGTAGTAATTTCTAATGATAATATAATTCAATAGTTTTTCTCAAACTACATATTATTTGCTATGAGCACGAAAACATTGGTTATTCTCATTGGAAAAAGACATGCTAACTCGATAATATCTGGTACTAAATACACCTTACTTAAATAAAGTAGATTTTATAAATATGACATAAAGTAATTATGTAATAGAATAAAGTAATTATATGTAATAGAATACCTACAATTTTATGGAATAATTAATGATGAAAATAGCATGAGAAGAACTGGTTACATCACTTTTATGTTTAACTTTTTTTTTTGTTATTTTTTGACATAAATAATCCTTCAGGTTTGTCATGTACGGCGAGATATTGGGCTACAAATTAGATTGATTTATTAGACACTTTACATTATACTGGTCTTATTTTAGTCAATCAAATAAAGTATTAACTCTTATTCAATATTTTATTGCTGTTTCGTTACAAAATATTTCCAAAGAATAAATGATCGAAATCTATTTTGATAAGTACTCCAGCTACGTTTTGGTTCTTTCTACGATGGCGCAAAAACTTAATTTCAATTTCATTGTATTTCAATTATCTAAATAAAAGATAAAACTGAACAAGTTTTATCTTTTATTTAGATAATTGAAATACAATGAAATTAAAATTAAGTTTTTGCGCCATCGTAGAAAGAACCAAAACGTAGCAAACAAACATATATATATATATATATATATATTTGTAAATCATAATCGTTTACTTATTATAGAATTTAATATAGTTATGATTTATTGACAATATTCATGTATATATAAGCAGGCATGCAGAAAATTCTCAGCCTAATATTTCCACAAAACAAATTTTTGTTTAAATNATATATATATATATAATCATTATCTTTTCATCATCAATGATAAATTGTTCTCGTAAAAATTTTATTTAATATTTTCAGAATAAAAAGGCAATCCTCATGAAATGTAAAAAGTTATATCTAACTGACTCTTGTGAAAGGCTGAAATTGCAACCAACACAGCAGATAGTACCTGTTTTTATAGGTATCAGCTACTTATACAGAATGCAAAATTTCTTTACTAGATGACGCAAATAATTACACCGGTCCAAAATACAACACTCTCTCCCATTCATAGCAATAAGTTTTATTAATTTATGAACGTGCAACTAATTCACTGGTCGATATATAACCGTTATAAAAACCTTTAATTTACATTTCTTAAAAACAAATTTTGAAAGTTTGAAGTATTTGTTCTGAAAAGCAAAAAAAATCAAAAACGTTACGACCATGTGTTATCCATAAGAATCATTCTAGTATCATCTATTTATGAAAAAATCAAGCTATTCCAATGAATGTATAAAAAAAAATATAACTGTAAGAAATATAGTCACGATTGTCTTCCGTTCTACTCTACTAAATCCAGCTTATAATTCATCAGAAAGAGGATTACTTAACAACATTTTTCCATTTCTTTGAAGATTTATTTTCTGATGACTCGGGGGTCATCTATTAGGAAGTTTTAAAAATACTGCATTGGCCACAAAACAGGGAATTTTTCATCGAAAACATTTCACAAATGTTTCATTTTTTACCAACAGGTCATATTTGAGAGCATTATATTATATATACTCTGTATATTAATAATATAATTATGAATATACAATATTAATAATAGTAATAAAATATTAATAGTGTATTAAAGACAAATCCTTATAATCCTATATAAATATGATACAGTTTTGGATAATAAGAAAATTTTCTAAACATAAATAGACTTTATGTATATTTTAAGAAAAACGTTTCTAAAATCTAAAATGAACTTTTTCTGTTGTCTAATCTTTAAAGAAGCATTTCTAAGAAAAAAATGGACTTATTCTTCGGCATATTTTTGGAAAAAAACGTCTCTCAGTAAAAAAAAAATTTACTTTTTCTGCTGTAAATGTTCGAAGGAAATATTGACACCAAAAAAAGACTTTTTGGGCCATAAAGTTTTGAGAATTTTAAAACATTTCCGAGTTATAAATTGGACTTTTTTTTGCATATTTTTAAAAGATTCGAAACGTTACTAAATAATAAATGTTCTTTTTGTGCTGTTTTGTCTCTTCATTAAATTTGATGTTCGGTTTATAATAGATGATGCAGTTTTGATTTTTTTAGAAACGCCTGAAAAGCATTTAATTTAAAATGTTTGGGTAAGCTGCTTGAGTCTATGACATCAATGTCATCGTAAGAGGCCTTCATTTGTTTAGTGCCACTTTTATTTTGAAACAGGGCTCGTTATTATGCTTTTATTCACGATATCTAATTTTATTTTTGTTTAATTTATAGGAGCTGGTGAATCTGGTAAAAGCACCATTGTCAAACAGATGAAGTAAGTGAAAAAATTTCATTCAGTTATTCATTTAATTAATAAATTCACATATTTATTTTGCAATTGCTGTTCAGAAACTTTTTTATTAACTGTGTTAAATTTAGAATCGGAAAAGTTTTCAGAACTACCAGAAATCCAATTAATTGCGGACTATAATCTTTCAGTTCAGTCAAGTACTTCATCGATTCAAAAGATATTAAAGTGTCCTTATTTATTTAATTTTTTATTATTATTATAGTTCTATAGTTATCAAGTCTAATCATAACGTAGCGTTTTATTTATTAAACATACTACGTAAATTTTTTTAATAAAACTACTAACTATTCTTGTACAGTTTCAATTTTAAATTAAAGATGCTTGTTATAAATCCTTTACGGGTTGTAATAATCAAACATATAACGTAAAAATGTTTATTTAAGAAGCATATTCCTCTTCTATTCTTTTAATTTATACATAATATACGTCCATTAATATACACTTTGTTAGCGCACCATTCACTTATTAGCATCAGTTATGTTGTTTATTGTTGAACGTGAGATTGTTCTTTTTACTTTCATAATTTGAGAAATACGCTTTCATTTGATTTATAGTTTTACGGAGGTTGCAACACGTTTTCATTGTGTTACTCTCTATGTTTAATAAATGTGATGTGCTGTCAGATTTCCTGTCTTAATTTAGAATCACACAGCGTAACACACACTTTTAATAAATAAATATTCATCCCTTACAAAATAGTAAGGTGTTTTGAATTTGACAAATGACAAATTTTGACAAATGTAGAAAAAATACACCTGAGGTAGAAAATGAGGTTATGTTTTCCACCAAAAATAACCTCATTAATTAATTTCGATTTCAACTCCATTTACACCTCATAAAATCCTCCTCATGTATAACACAACAATACTTTTAGTTGAGATTGGGTGAAATTATTCACACCTCAAATATACTTTTTTGCTTGAAGTGTAGAAAAAATAGCCAGTACATCTTAAAAATAACCTCTCTAAGCTGGTTGTTCTAATGAACATTTTCAATAACCTCAAGTGTAAATAAAACTACTTCATACACTTTGAGAGGTTGATCTCTTAAGGTTTTTTAAAGTCAACTTCAATAGACCTTAAATCAACCTTGGCACCTCAAAACAACTTCAATGAACCTCAAAAACACCCTAAATTTTTGTAAGGGATCGTAACAGTGTTCAGCTTTAAAACAAAATATTCTATATCTTCCATTTTCAAGTTCTGTATACCTAATATATTTGCATTAACATACGTCTTTTAAAATATCAAAGTATAGACAAACTAAGTATAAAACAAGAGTACCCAATCTATGGTTTGTAGTGTCTGACTGCGTAAAATGACAAAGATTCTCGGAAAACATAAATTAAATAATTCTTTTTTGTTTTAGCATCTTTTTTATCAAGCAACTACTAAAACGGAGAATTGAAAACTTAATACTTCAATCCTCCTCTCCTAATACTTTTGAATCCTATTATTTATTTTATAATCCTATTATTATTGACGATTCGTGTTTTATTATTCACGAGATTCTATTTATAGATAACCTTCCTACGTAACATTTGTTTATTCATTAATTTTTGTGATTTTAAAACCCAGAACTCTTATTGCTTTTTATTCGAACTTTTAATATTTAATAGACAATGCTAATTTTTAAAATAAGTTCTTAGAGCTCAAAGCTAATTTGTTTGTTGATTTCGATTTGCACTTTAAAAAGGTTGGGAATTTTATTTTATTGTGTTAAATATGAAAAGAATGAAAACTTATGTACAATCGTATTGAAATATTTATCGCCCATCTTAATTGATTTTAATCTATATTCGTTCTTTAGGTAAAAGGGTTTATGTTAGTACGCTGCAACTAAAACAAGCATTAACTTTTGAAATTTTGGTTTAATTAATTTTTTTCTACGTGATTAAGTTATAAAAAAAACATCTTAATACATTTTAACAATTTAACCGTTGTATAGATGGATAGTTTGTGCAAAGTCATTTCTTTATGAAATATTGTTTTTTAGCGAATTATAATCTACTTTTGTAATTGTTGTTGTTTAATGAGTTTGCCACATCAATTGTAGCAACTTATATTTGCAGCAAGTTTTATGGAGGCAACTAATTTTAAAGCATTTCTGTCAAAAATCGGAAAATAAGTTAACTTTGTCCATTGTAGACAATTTAAGAAACAATCTCCCTACATATTTGTTCTTTTTATCTTATTTAAAAGGAAACTTCGAAAAAAGTTAAAAGAGTTCATTCTAATAAAAAAAAAGGAAGTTATTGTCATAAACAAGAAAACATAGATGTTAAATTATTCATCGAAATAATTCAAACCTACAATCTATGACACTTACTAACAATTATTTCATTTCCCTCTTAAAAAATTGTTTTTTAAATTTCAGCATTTCATAATTGCTTTCTAATTTTAAATTTTAATTAATCTTTCATTGCAAAGACATATTAAGTTTATCATTCAGGGATTATTACCCAGTAATGTTAAAGTATAAAAAAAATTTTGCATTCATATTTTTTATATTATTTGGAAGTATATTATAATGAGTTTTCACACTCGACACAATTAACAATATATTGCCACGGAAAATTTTCACTGCATATTATTTCATAAGGTATAACCTTAAAATAACAAAAAAGGAGCACATATTTTGAAGGAAACGATTTCATAAATAGCGTTTTTTCTGAATTATTTTCTAATTTTCAATTTTAAACATCGAAAAATTGAGTATATATGACGCTGCAAACTAATATGTTTCTCGAAAAATCTCTTTATATAACTCAGTAAATTTAAAAACATTACTTAATGAAAGATAATTAACTCATAATTTTGGAGAGAAAAAAACAATTCTATAAATAAATTTTTAAATTCGGTCATAGAAAAGCATAAGTTTGTTGTCATCAGTCAAATTAACTATTAACTTAACGAAAACATATACAGTTATATTTTTTGTAAATCATAATGAGTTTTTAAATTCTGCACGACTTAAAATTTATTGCAGTTATTAAAAGTATGTTTATATTTCTAATTAGACTTTACCTTAAAATAAGAAAAAGAAAATATTGTTTCGAAAAACAATTCTGTAAGTAATAACTTCGTAAGCACTTTTTAATTTTTAGCTTTTGTTATTTCAATTTGTATTTTCAGCCATGTATTTTCAATTTGTGTTATTTACAACGTATGTTTTTTTTTATCTCCTAGTATTAAAGTTTTGGAGATATGTACATTTATAATTTCTATAAAAAAAACACATTGTTATGTGTTTTCAAGTTCTACTCAACTTGCAATTTTATTTCCATCGGAAAATTTCTTTATAATTCTAATTCGACTTAAAATGAGGAAAAAAAACGAATATTTTTGATGAAACGATTTTGTAATTAGTAGCTTCCAGGAATCGTTTTCTAATATTCCTAATTTTAAATCTCTGTTACTTAAAAAAGCTTGTTTTCTTCCAATATCAGAATATTGGAAACATCTGCAATCATATTTTGTTTCACAAATATTTCAAAATCAGTTTTCAAATTCTGCACAGCTAAATGTGTTTTGCTGTGAAAACTGTATATGCGTCATTAAAAAATGTATATGAGAAGTTGCCATAAAATGATTAAAACAACATATAATTTTGTGAAAACGATCCTATAAATAATAGTTTCTTTTTTCGTGGATAAATAAATTAAGCCATTTTTTTTCACTTATGGAAAATAAATCATTCCAAAGCAATATATTATAAATAGTACAATAAAATTTAATTGATTATTTTTTGGTAGATAAATAAGCAGGAGAATTGATATTCTTCAAAATTAGGAAACACAGTAGCTTCAAACCAGTTTACTGATGTTAACTTCATTCGAAATGCTCTTTAAAAGTCTTCCAACTCAGGAGCGATGTGGCAAAAACAACTATCCGGGAAATGTGCCCGAGAGTTTAGGTGGGTGAGTAGGTAGAGGAAAGTGTGATCAAATCCTCCGGTAGCCGTCACCGCAAAAGGGTGTGGCAGGGATGCGCATGCGCATCCGAGGTGCCGGTTCTCGAGGTCTCAGGGTTGTAGCAATGTCTGCAGCTGCTACTGTTTAATGGGCCATATTGAAATCAGTGACTTCTAAGATGACAACCAGTCCTGAAAAAAAAATTTTTTTTTCTTCATAATATTTTTTCTTGAAAAAATTTAGTTTATTTTGCGACACCTTAAGATGCGATTTCATTTACTAATTAATATTCTTTTTTAGGATATTAAATTGCTTTGTTCTATTAATTGTTAAATTGCATTGTTAAATTGCTTATTGCTAATGATTATACATCTATGATATAATTTTATGTGTGAAAGATTAAAGGCTTAATCTTAAAAAAGATGGCGTTTGGTTAATTAGTCTAACACAAAGATTGGGTAACTAATAAGAATTATTTTATTTCTTCTGCGTTTTTCTTTAAGGGATATTTCGAATGATTAAAATATTAAACGTTGCCGAAAGGGCGCGAATACCTAAGTCCAAGATAATATTGATTACACTGTATAAGTTTGAAGGTAAGACTAGAAAAAGATTTAAAAAAGATGATGCATACGTCTGTTCTGTAACTGCATCTATGGAAAATTTAATTCAAAATCTAAAATTCTGATTTCTTTTCATATTTAAATATTATTTTTTTTCTTTTCTATCTAAGTAATTTCTGCAATACGTTTTTATTTTTCTTAAATCCAGACAAAAATTATCGTCAAAATTTGTAATTAATAATAGCGTTTGGGGTAAATTATTGCGTAAACGAATACTATGAGGAAATAAAGCTTATTGATGTCATAAGTGGTTTATAATGCAAAACGTCATTATTCGACATTATTACGTCATTATTTTGCATTATTTATCATATTTATTATAGTTGCGAGGATGTGGATGGGTAAAAACAAAAAGTCAAAGAAGGTTTTTTTTTAAACTCATTTCCTAGTTAAAACATTGATGCCAATAGTGTTTCATGTGGATAAAA